CCTAACCTAACCTAACCTAACCTAACCTAACCTAACCTAACCTAACCTAACCTAACCTAACCTAACCTAACCTAACCTAACCTAACCTAACCTAACCTAACCTAACCTAACCTAACCTAACCTAACCTAACCTAACCTAACCTAACCTAACCTAACCTAACCTAACCTAACCTAACCTAACCTAACCTAACCTAACCTAACCTAACCTAACCTAACCTAACCTAACCTAACCTAACCTAACCTAACCTAACCTAACCTAACCTAACCTAACCTAACCTAACCTAACCTAACCTAACCTAACCTAACCTAACCTAACCTAACCTAACCTAACCTAACCTAACCTAACCTAACCTAACCTAACCTAACCTAACCTAACCTAACCTAACCTAACCTAACCTAACCTAACCTAACCTAACCTAACCTAACCTAACCTAACCTAACCTAACCTAACCTAACCAACCTAACCTAACCTAACCTAACCTAACCTAACCTAACCTAACCTAACCTAACCTAACCTAACCTAACCTAACCTAACCTAACCTAACCTAACCTAACCTAACCTAACCTAACCTAACCTAACCTAACCTAACCTAACCTAACCTAACCTAACCTAACCTAACCTAACCTAACCTAACCTAACCTAACCTAACCTAACCTAACCTAACCTAACCTAACCTAACCTAACCTAACCTAACCTAACCTAACCTAACCTAACCTAACCTAACCTAACCTAACCTAACCTAACCTAACCTAACCTAACCTAACCTAACCTAACCTAACCTAACCTAACCTAACCTAACCTAACCTAACCTAACCTAACCTAACCTAACCTAACCTAACCTAACCTAACCTAACCTAACCTAACCTAACCTAACCTAACCTAACCTAACCTAACCTAACCTAACCTAACCTAACCTAACCTAACCTAACCTAACCTAACCTAACCTAACCTAACCTAACCTAACCTAACCTAACCTAACCTAACCTAACCTAACCTAACCTAACCTAACCTAACCTAACCTAACCTAACCTAACCTAACCTAACCTAACCTAACCTAACCTAACCTAACCTAACCTAACCTAACCTAACCTAACCTAACCTAACCTAACCTAACCTAACCTAACCTAACCTAACCTAACCTAACCTAACCTAACCTAACCTAACCTAACCTAACCTAACCTAACCTAACCTAACCTAACCTAACCTAACCTAACCTAACCTAACCTAACCTAACCTAACCTAACCTAACCTAACCTAACCTAACCTAACCTAACCTACCTAACCTAACCTAACCTAACCTAACCTAACCTAACCTAACCTAACCTAACCTAACCTAACCTAACCTAACCTAACCTAACCTAACCTAACCTAACCTAACCTAACCTAACCTAACCTAACCTAACCTAACCTAACCTAACCTAACCTAACCTAACCTAACCTAACCTAACCTAACCTAACCTAACCTAACCTAACCTAACCTAACCTAACCTAACCTAACCTAACCTAACCTAACCTAACCTAACCTAACCTAACCTAACCTAACCTAACCTAACCTAACCTAACCTAACCTAACCTAACCTAACCTAACCTAACCTAACCTAACCTAACCTAACCTAACCTAACCTAACCTAACCTAACCTAACCTAACCTAACCTAACCTAACCTAACCTAACCTAACCTAACCTAACCTAACCTAACCTAACCTAACCTAACCTAACCTAACCTAACCTAACCTAACCTAACCTAACCTAACCTAACCTAACCTAACCTAACCTAACCTAACCTAACCTAACCTAACCTAACCTAACCTAACCTAACCTAACCTAACCTAACCTAACCTAACCTAACCTAACCTAACCTAACCTAACCTAACCTAACCTAACCTAACCTAACCTAACCTAACCTAACCTAACCTAACCTAACCTAACCTAACCTAACCTAACCTAACCTAACCTAACCTAACCTAACCTAACCTAACCTAACCTAACCTAACCTAACCTAACCTAACCTAACCTAACCTAACCTAACCTAACCTAACCTAACCTAACCTAACCTAACCTAACCTAACCTAACCTAACCTAACCTAACCTAACCTAACCTAACCTAACCTAACCTAACCTAACCTAACCTAACCTAACCTAACCTAACCTAACCTAACCTAACCTAACCTAACCTAACCTAACCTAACCTAACCTAACCTAACCTAACCTAACCTAACCTAACCTAACCTAACCTAACCTAACCTAACCTAACCTAACCTAACCTAACCTAACCTAACCTAACCTAACCTAACCTAACCTAACCTAACCTAACCTAACCTAACCTAACCTAACCTAACCTAACCTAACCTAACCTAACCTAACCTAACCTAACCTAACCTAACCTAACCTAACCTAACCTAACCTAACCTAACCTAACCTAACCTAACCTAACCTAACCTAACCTAACCTAACCTAACCTAACCTAACCTAACCTAACCTAACCTAACCTAACCTAACCTAACCTAACCTAACCTAACCTAACCTAACCTAACCTAACCTAACCTAACCTAACCTAACCTAACCTAACCTAACCTAACCTAACCGAGTCTGTGTCCAACCGTGACCGAGAACACCACGTTTTCGTAACGCTCCGCAATCAAAAATCGTTTTTACTGGTAAATTTTGAACGTACCAAGTCGTGTTATATATCAAAAGTTGTGTAATCACTCCGTGCATGTGGTGGAATAACCCGCATTTACCGTTTTTAATCGTACAAAAAGTTATCATCAAAATTGTGAGAAAAGTGACAAAAAGTGAGTGAACAACAAACTTCGAATCGTTATAACTTTGAAACGCGATCGATGACACCAAAATTTTAAAGTGTCATATTGTGGGCCTTACTAAGCTGCGTCGGACACTGAAAACTTGGCGGTGATCGGGCTTCAGGATCGAGAGTTATCAAAAATTTACTGAAAATTCTAACCTCAATTCTGCACACGAGGTTAACGATCCAGACGTCACAGGCTGCTGAAACATTTGGAGCTGAAAGGAAACTTCTGGGGCATCACAAAACTGGTTTCAGAAAAATTTTACCTCTTCTGTACAGGTTTATTTTAACCATTTTATAAGCAAACTTTGAGTGGCTGCCAACTGAAACCTTCAGGAGCTGGCGCTGATTTTCTTGAAGAACTGGGTGCGCGCTAACTGGGAGAAGACAACCACGATAAGTTTATAATTTTAGAATATATTAATCGAGTTAAAATCATTAAAACCTTATAAAATCAGTTTTTCAGGTCTTATTCCTGAAAAAGTACTTTTTCTAAATATTTTAAATTTTTACCAGATAGCCCTTATTTTTACACAAATTTTGATATTTTTAGAAAATTTTTATCACCATAAACCATAAAGTTATTCAATTTTTTGCAATTTTTTAACATAAAATCAAATTAAATAGAATTAATTAAATTCTGACACCAGAATTCCCTTATTAGTGTATATTTCAGCTAGTTTAAGCCCAAACTCGCGACAAATACCTTCGGAAATAACGAAAATAGACTATTTCGTCCAACTTGGTTGACAAGGTTAAAAATTTCAAAACTTAATATCTCTAAGGGTATTTGGCTTAGCGAACTCGTTTTGCCACGATTTGTCGTGGGAAACTAGGAATAATAACGTGGATAGGTTAAAGTGCCATTTTTCGGCACTTGTTGGTTTTAGCCTCAAAACCGCTGCTGTAGTATAGGGGAGATCAAGACACGAGTGGCTGTCCAAACCGCAACTTTTTCCGATCAGCGGTTGCGGAGATATAGCGGTTTAAAGCCAGCATTTGACAGCTGGGCGGCCATTTTGTAAAACTTTAATATCAAATATCTCCGCTCCTGTGAGGCGTGGAGAGTTGCGGTTTTCACAGTAGTAATTGTAGGATCAAGCTCTAATCTATCAAGTAGTTTTCAGCGGAATCGGGGCTGAAATTTTTCAGGTGCCTGAAAACAATCTCATTGAGTAGCACTGGTGGAGACGAATACGGAGAGTCCAAGCACGGGTGTTCTGTGACCGCTGGAAGTTAAAATATAGCTCGGACAATTTTAAATTTGACAGATCCTCTACTGTCAAAATAAATTTTAAATTGCTGTATCACCCGAACCAGTGGTCGTAGAGGGCTCGCGTTTTCACTGGGATTGTCGGCCTGACCTTCTCTACTAGATTTAGAATCTTTCAGGAGCTTTCAGGACCTGAAATTATTCGGAGCTGAAACCTGTCCCACAAGTCGGACCTCAGCGAGACCATTCCGGGGAGCCTAAGCACGGTGGTATTCGGACGAACGGTTCCGGAGAAAACCGTAGGTTAACGGATTCTGGGAGCCATCTGACGCTGACAACCAGAATTTCGGGCTGGGTTTTCTCGGGAACCCTTTGGACTAGGGTGGCCGTGTTTGGGTTCGTTGGAGAGGGCTCCGAGAGACCTATCCGGTGAGAGGCTGAGATCGACTCTATCTAGAGTCGAAAAATTATTGACGCTTTTTTCCAAAACTTTAGTCAAAGTAAGGATCCTGCAGGCTTCTGGACACCAGACCAGTGTCTGGTTACTAGTTTTTAATTTATTTTTGTGTCGTACACCGTCCCTCCTATTGGGGACGTTAAGCTAGCTACCTAAATTAAAATTATTTTTATATTTTTGTGTTTACCTTGCTTTATAGACCGTCGTCCCTCCTATTGGGGACGTCAAATTACTTTAATATCTAATTTTAATTACTATTTATTATCCCTTTTATTGTAGACCGTCCCCCCTATTGGGGACGTTAAGCTAGTAAATAAGCTAAATTATTTTGTATTTTGTGTTTTGTGCCGTAGACCGTCCTTCATATTGGGGACGTTAAGATTCTAATATTTAATTTATATATATAAAATTTTCATTTATTATTTTTATTAATTTATTTTTTGTCTGACCGTCACCCCTATTGGTGACGTGTATTAATTATTCAATTGTGTTAGCTAGGTTAAGTGTAATAATTAGTAAACATGTCCCCGCCTCTCGGGAAGAACGTCAAAAGCATAACGGTCGCACACACGGAGCGAAAGGAAGACAAGAAACCGCGCGAGGCCATCGCCCAACAATTGCCACAGCACAGTGCCCGCCCGACAGAGAGCCCAACTGCAAGAGCAAATAGATTATTCCAGGCCGCAAAGGCCCAGCTGGAGTCGTCGGGGAACTTGAAGTCGACCATCAAGGAGGGCGTTCTGGACAGTCTGTCAGGACTGTACGGGACAGTCCTCCAGGTGGACGAGCGCCTTCGTTCCCTGGAGCTCCAGCTGGAGCAGTTGCGGTCCGAAAAAGAAAAAGAGCTCAGAAAATCAGTGGAAGAAAAGGATAGAGTAATAGAGGAGCTGGCTCGGGGCATGCATAAGGACATTGGGGTAAAAATCGGGGAGCTCGTCACCAACACTGAAACAATCAAGAAAATGATAAATCACGACATTATGAACCGGTTTGACGAGTATCCCCCGGGTAGGGCGCTGTGCGGGAACATTAAAAAACTAGAGGGCCTAATGGAAGAAATGAAGGAAGTAAGGAAGACGAGTGAACGGACTAGTAAAAAGTGGAGGAAAGTGCAAAAGTGACGGAAAACATGGGAAGGATGACAGAAGATGTATGCAAGGTGATAAAAGAGACAGGTATGAAAGTCGAGGCGGTCGGGGTGCAGGTTGGGGAGGTCGGGGAGGGGGTGAGGAAAAATGGAGAAACCGTAAGGGAGACCGGGAAAGCCATGGAGGCCCTCAAGGCCCCGGTGGCTACGTACGCCGAGACATTGAGGGCCCCAAAACCCAAGACCCAGCCCCTCCCTTGCCGCCCGGGCCACGCCCTGATCGTATCCTCATGTACGGAGACGGATACGAGTGAGAACGTGATAGGTAAAGTCAGGGAGGCCCTCGACGCGCGTAGGTCGGGGATGCAGATCGAAAGGGTAAGGAAAGTTAGAGATGGTAAGATAGTGATCTGCTGCGGTAATAAGGAAGACTTAAAGAAAACCGAGGACCAGCTGAAGAACACCGACGGCCTCAAGTTCGAGCCTGCGGCGAGCCGGGACCCGAGAGTGGTGATAAGGAACGTGTTCAGCTACAACTCTGAAAAGGACATTGTGGAGTCCCTCAAGGTCCAAAATAAGAGATTGTGGCTGGACATGGATCCGAGCCACTTTAGGGTCAAAGAGGCTTACCGCAAGAAAGCGCGAAATCCGCATCAGGCCCATGTAATCCTACAGGTCTCCCCTCAGGTATGGCGCAGGCTGACTGAGGCGGAGAGGATATACATTGACATCCAGGGCCTGACCGCCGAGGACCAGTCGCCACTGGTGCAGTGTACTCGCTGTCTGGGGTACGGCCACGGTCGCAAGTTCTGTAGGGAGAAGGTGGACCTCTGCGGCCATTGCGGGGGGGAGCACGACCGTGCGGAGTGTCCTTCCCGCGGTGGCGGGGGGGTCCCCGTCTGTCGGAATTGCGACCGGGCCGGGCGACGGGGAGCGGGACATAACGCGTTCAGTGGCGACTGCCCCGTTCGACAAAAATGGGACGCGATAGCGCGTGCCTCGGTGAGCTATTGCTAAGGGCGCCGCAGCAGATCAAGTGTGTGAGGGAAACTTTGTGGTATACCAGGCCAATCTCCAGCGTGGACGCTTGGCGACTCAGGAGTTAGTCATGTCTTCTCACAGGGGCAGTGTTGGGGTCGCCCTTGTCCAGGAGCCTTACGTCGGCGCGGAGGGGCGGGTCGGCAGCTTCCGTGGCGTCAGGGTGATACAGAGGGAGGCTGCGAGGACCAAGCCCGTCAAGGCGGCAGTTATGGTCTTCGGTGTCGATCTGGAGGTTCATGTGAACCCTCAGATCGTCACTGAGAATATTGTGGCTGTCGTTCTGAAGGCGGGCGACTGGACCATGGCGGCTATCTCTGTGTACCTTGAGGGCACGGAGGACATCGAGCCGTACCTCGCGCAATTGCGTGACTTCATGGGTCGGGTCGGCACCAACAGGATCATTGTGGGAGGTGATTGGAATGCATGGAGTCCGTGGTGGGGGAGCGTCGAGGAGGACACCAGAGGGGAGACCTTGAGGGGGTTCTTTGACGACCTGGAGCTGCACGTGTTGAACACAGGAGTCGTCCCCACCTTCGATACAATCCGTGGAGGCAGGAGGTACACGAGTCACGTCGACGTTACCGTCTGCACCCACGGATTGTTGAGAAGCGTCCGAGAGTGGAAAGTGGACGACTCCGTGACTAGCTCAGATCACAGGGCGATACGTGTGGTTCTGGGTCTCAGGGTGCCCCCTCGGGGAGGTACCCGGTGGACTACTCGACGCTTCAACACCCGGAAGGCTGAATGGGGTCGTTTCACCGAGGAAATGCGTAGTAGGATGACAACCCGGGGACTAAACCTGGAGCGAATTAATAACATAAACAACAAGACTGAATTAGAGGGGGTGGTTAAAGATTTCATTGAATGTGTGGGCGAGGCGTGCGAGGAAACAATTCCGCCCCACAAACCACCCAAACAGAACAAACGCTTTCCTTGGTGGAACGACGAATTGGAAGGGATGCGTCGCGACGTGAACACGAAACGCCGTAGAATCCGGTGTGCCGCGCCGCGGCGCAGACAGCATGTTGTGGACGACTACCTGGGCGCCAAGGCAGACTACGAGAGGAGGGTTGTCGTTGCCCAAACGGAGAGCTGGAAGGAGTTTTGCTCGAAGCAGGAGAGGGAATCAATGTGGGATGGGATCTACCGGGTGCTGAGAAGAACGTCAGGTCATCAAGAGGACCAGCTACTCGTCGAGGATGGAGTTGTGCAGAGCCCGGATCAATCCGTCGCGCTGCTGGCCGGGACGTTCTTTGCCGATGACGATCACGGTGTGGATCATGAGATCCACACCGTCATCAGAGACAAGGCGGACCTGGTCAGCATGCGCCTTCCGGGAGAAACGGACGACCCCCCGATCACCAAGGGGGAGCTGCTCCGGACTCTGCGCAGCGCCAATCCCAAAAAGGCACCGGGTCCGGATGGCTTCACCAGCGATATATGTTGCACTGCAATATATGCAGAGGTGGAGCTGTTTTTAGCCATCCTGAACCGGTGTCCTTGACCTGGCGTGCTTCCCAGCGCCGTGGAAGGAGGCTGCTGTCGTGGTGCTAAGGAAACCGGCGCGACCAGACTACGCGCGCGCAAAGTCGTACCGACCTATTGGACTACTGTCCACCTTGGGCAAGCTACTGGAAAAAATTATATGCCGAAGGTTAAGATGGCACGTCTTGCCCAAGTCCAATGCGAGGCAGTACGGCTTCACACCGCAGCGCAGCACGGAGGACGCGCTGTATGACCTGACGCAGCACGTCAGGAGCATCCTCCACAGGAAGGAGACCGCCCTATTGGTTTCCCTCGACATCGAGGGGGCATTCGACAACGCATGGTGGCCGGCTATAAAGTGCAGAATGATAGAGAAAGGCATCCCCGTTAATTTGAGGCGTCTTGTCGAGGACTACTTTCGGGATCGGAGCGTGGTGGTACATTATGCGGGAAGAACAGTGCGGAAGCCGCAGACAAAAGGATGCGTGCAGGGCTCCATCGGTGGACCTCTCTTCTGGAACATGCTGCTGGACCCCCTCCTGGACACCTTGGATGGGCTGGGCGCGTACGTGCAGGCGTTCGCGGACGATATCGTTCTGGTGTTCTCCGGACAAACGGCGCTCGAAATCCAGCGGGAAGCCAACGCCGCTTTGGCCCGTGTGCGCGACTGGGGTGTCACGAATAAGCTTCGCTTTTCCGCCGAAAAAACCCAGGCGATGGTAGTCACGCGAAAGCTTAAGTATGACACTCCGGTCGTGCAGATGGGCGGCGTTGACATCTCGATGGTGACCGAGCTCAAGATCCTCGGAGTCATCGTCGACAGTAAACTAACATTTAATCAACACGTTGCCTATGTCTGTCGTAAGGCAACAAACTTGTATAGGAAACTGTCGACGATGGCTCGGGTGGAATGGGGCTTGTGCCCGGAGATCATCAGAACGATATATTTTGCCGTGGTCGAACCCACTATACTGTACGGCGCGAGCTCCTGGGCGAAGGCCGCCGAGAAGATCTCTGTGCAGAAGATCTTTGCTACCGTCCAAAGGGGTTTTGCACAGAAGATCGCCAAGTCGCATCGGACGGTGTCGCTCCACGCGGCGCTCACGCTGTCGGGTCTCCTCCCGCTAGACCTTCGAGTCTGGGAGGTGGCGCGACTGTATGAGTGCAAAAGGGGTCGCCCGATTGATGAGCTGGAATCCCGCGAACTGGAGGAGCGTGAGGCCTTTATCAAGGCCCCTCATCCCGCCAGTGAGCCGGATGTTGATTATCGGTGTCTGGAGGATATGCTCCCCGAAACTGTTGCTCGGCTGCAGCTCCCCGCTCATCTGATTTACACTGACGGTAGTAAATCGGTGGACGGGGTCGGGGCAGCGTACTCCTACTGGCGGGATGGGACCGAGATTCGGACCAAGAGGATGAGGCTGGAGTCGATGTGCACCGTCTTTCAGGCCGAGCTGCTCGCGATAGCCAGGGCTACAGACCTGGTTGTCCGGGGTGGCTTCGGGTGCGCGGCGGTGCTCAGCGACTCCCGTTCCTCGCTGGACTTGATCCGAAACTCGGAAACGCACCACCCTCTCGCTACCCATATTCGAAAGAATATTAGGGAGTTGGAAGGGAGAGGTAAAATCCTCCAGTTCTTTTGGGTGAAGGCTCACGTCGGGATCCCCGGCAACGAGCGCGCCGACGAGTTGGCGAGGCTAGCGGCGGCTCAGTCCAGGGTCGCCCCGGCCTACGACAGGTGTCCAGTATCATACGTCAAAAGACGTATCAGGGAGGGAGCGGTTCATCGCTGGAACGAGAGGTACACCGGCGGAGCGACGGCTGAAGTCACCCGCATGTTCTTCCCCGATGTATCACGCGCTTACAGGGTCTTGAGGTGCCTCGACAGGACATCGATTTGGGCACAGTTACTGACAGGACATGGTGGCTTCGCAGCGTATCTCCACAAATTTAAATTAAAAGATAGTCCGGCCTGTGTGTGCGACCCCGAGGTACCGGAGACAATCCAACACCTTCTGTTAGAATGCCCGAGGCATGACCGTGACAGGTACGACCTGGAAGTAAGCACAGGAATAAAACTTAATGAAAATACAGTTGCCGAATTAATGGCCCACAAAGACTCCAGGCCGTATCTGAAACGGTACTGCCTCAAAATCGCAAAGATTGCAATTGACAGAAACAGAACTAGATAATCTCGTTCTGTTTCTGCCAATTGCGATCCCCATAGATCTCCGGTACTCTCTAAAATTGTAAATGCCGTCGGCAAGAGCTGATATGTAAAAGACTAATGAAATGTCATAGAAATAATACTAAGGTAACATTTAACGAAACGTGAAATATTGATATAAGTTTAGTAATAAGAAAATTATATACTAATATTATAAGAGAAATGAGGGAAAAGAGCGACCCTAAAAAATAATACTGACACAAAGCCGCAAAAAATGCAAAGCGGTAAAAAAAGACGAATAAAAAACAAAACAGCACTAAAAAAAGATTCTTGCCATGCAA